TCTTCAATAGGTTTTCTCTTTTTTTTGTCTTACTTTGTCACCCGTGGTAGAGTACTGTGGCATTACAGCTCACAGCAACCTCAAACTTCTGGGTTTAAGTGATTCTCTTGCCTCAGCCTCCCAAGAGCTGGGACTACAGGTGTCCGCAACAACATCCGGCTATTTTTTTCTTTTAGAGATGGGGTCTCCCTCTGGCTTAGGTTGGTCTTGAGCCTGTGAACTCAGGCAGTCCACTAACCACAGGTGTGAGCCACCACACCTGGCCTCTTCAATAGGTTTTTGATCACTTTGTTTTATTTCTTTAATATTTTTATTATTATTATTTTTTGAGACAGAGTCTCAAGCTGTCGCCCTGAGTAGAGTGCTGTGGCATCACAGCTCACAGCAACATCAAACTCTTGGGCCCAAATGACTCTCTTGCCTCAGCTTCCCAAGTAGTTGGGACCACAGGCACCTGCCCCAATGCCCCTCTGGTTTTCTTTTTTTTTTTTTGGTTGCATTTATCATTGTTGTTTAGCAGGCCCGGGCCGGGTTTGAACCCACCACCCTCAGTGTATGTGGCCGGCACCCTGCCGACTGAGCTATGGGCTCTGCCCTGTAATATTATTTGGACTGGAAGAAATTCTAACCTCTCAACTATGGTGTTAAAGCTGTATTTGTGGCTGGATATGGTGGCTCCTGCCTGTAATCTTAACCTTTTGGGAGATGAGTTGAGAGGATCACTTGAGGTCAGAAGTTCAAGATCAGCCTGAGAAAGAGCAAGACCCCTAGCTCTACAAAAAACAAAAATTAGCGAGTCCAGCTATGGCAGGATCAGAAATTGTAAAATTGCTTGAACCCAGGAGTGTGAGGTTGCAGTGAGCAATGATGACAACCAACTGTGCTCTATCCCAGGCAGTAGAACAAGACCCTGCCTCAAAAAAGAAAAAAATAAATAAAAGCCATATTTGCTATGATTATTATGTACCCACAATAATGAAAAAATTTAAAAAGTGTTTAAGTTATATTTGCATTATTAATTTGCATCCTAGGTTCTGACTTCAGATGTAGTCATACCTTTTCGGAAGATTGGAGATTATTTAATCAATACCAAGTAGAGTTTTCTCTAAACATTTCATTTCATTTCATTTCATTATTATATTTGGTATCCACATATAGAAAAGAGGATGCTCAACTTTTCTCCATATTATAACTAGTGGACATTATCAAGTATACATAAACCATATTGTGCTCCATAACAGGAAATACTTTCTGACTAACTTACTGGCCATTGAAAAAGGGAATTGAGAAAGCCTTTTGGATCTTTTCTCAAGGACATAAAAGCAGACGCAGTTCTGATATGTACAGACATTACTTGTCTGTCTGATCTTAATATAAAGAAATGAAAATACTAGACTACTAATTGATTTATTAGAATGTGAACTGGTATTTATTTCCTTGATGTAAAGGAGGAAGAAAAAGATCAGGGAAGAGCACTTAGAAACCCATTATCCTATAATGCTGATATTGTATTTTATATTTCATTTTTAATATTTTGAGAACATTAATTTCTTTTTTTTTTCTTTTGTAAAGACAGTGTCTCTATCACCCTGGGTAGAGTAGCCTGGTGTCATCATAGCTCACAGCAACCTCAAACTCCTGGGTTCCAATGACCCCCTTGCCTCAGCCTCCCAAGTAGCTGGTACTAAATGCATGTGCCAGAACACCCAGCTATTTTTTGTATTTTTTCTATTTTTTAGTAGAGATGGGGTCTTGCTCTTGTTCAGGCTGGTCTCGAAGTCCTGAGTTCAAGGGATCCACCTGCCTTGGCCTCCCAGAGTGGTAGGATTACAGGTATGAGCCACCCCACTTGGCTTTTTTTTTTTTGAGATAGGGCCTCGCTGTTCCACCCTGGATAGAGTGCCCTGGTGTCGTCACAGCTCACAGCTGCCTCAAACTCCTGGGTTCCAGCGACCCTCTTGCCTCAAATTCGCAATTAGATGGAGCTACAGGTGCCTGCCATAATGTCTGGCTAGTTTTTGTTTTTAGTAGAGGTGGGGGTTTGCTCTTGCTCAGGGTGGCTTGAACTCCTGAGTTCAAGTAATCTACCTGCCTTGGCCTCCCAGAGAGAACATTAAGTTCTTCGTTTTGTATTCGATCAGGATTAGTTTTCTTTGTCTAGCTATGAAGACAGCTAGGCTTTATGTTTGATCAGGTTTTATGTGAGAATGGAGAATCAAAGCAGAGATATTAACATTTCCTTTTTAAAATCTTCATAACTTAAAATCTAATTCTAATAGAATATCAACAGAGAATATAATCATAAAGCTTTATTGCCTAAAGATTCCACTGGGAGGGATGGCACACCACCCACACATAAACTTCCAAAGTGATAGCTGATAAAGTTCTTTAGAATCTTGGGATTTGAAACTGTTATTTGTTGTTTAAACAGGGATAGATATGAACTTAAGTTTCTCTTAACCAGTTATTAGGAGCTAGGAATCTACTAAGGATAAAAGTAAATGTTTTATGTTTTTCGTAGGGTTATTTTATTGATTGAAGAAATGTGCAGGGAACTTTTTGTGCTTTTATGACTGTATAAGCAACTATGAGATTTCCATATTCATTGCTAGCATTGTCTTCAACCCCATATTTTCTTTGTGGCAACTTATTAAGAATGAGTTAGTATCAAAATGTAGGGCTGAGCGTGGTGGCTTATGCCTGTAATCCTAGCACTCGGGAGGCCGAGGTGGGTAGATTGCCCTAAGATCACCAGTTCGAGACCAGCCTAAGCCAGAATGAGACCTTATCTCTAAAAATAGCCAGGCATTGTGGCAGGCACCTGTAGTCCCAGCTACTCAGGAGGCTGAGGAATGTGAGCTATGATGAAGGGCAGTCTACTAAGGGGGACAATGTGAGACTGTGTCTCAAAAAAAAAATATATATATAGATAGATAGATAGATAGACAGATATATTTCAAAATGTAGTTGCAGTAGTTAGACTTGATGTGTTCAGTACATTTAAAATTTTACTTTTATAGTTTTAGCTTTAAAAAATGATAAATATGGGGTGGCGCCTGTGGCTCAAAAGGGTAGGGTGCTGGCCCCATATGCCAGAGGTGGTGGGTTCATGCCCAGCCCCAGCCAAAAACTGCAAAAAAAAAAGGTAAATATGGCTCGGCACCTGTGGCTTAAGCAACTAAGGCGCCAGGTTCACATTTGAACCTGAACTGGCAGGTTCAAATCCAGCCTGGGCCAGCCAAACAATAATGACAGCCACAGCCAAAAAATAGCTGGGCGTTGTGGCGGGCGCCTGTAGTCCCAGCTACTTGGAAGGTGGAGGCAGAAGAATCACTTGAGCCCAAGAGTTGGAGGTTGCTGTGAGCAGTGATGC